CATCATATGACCCCTTTAACAATTAAAAAGTTCAAAAATACATTTTTAAATTTTTTTGTTCTTGCTGAATAAAATATTAATTTTATTTTTTTTAATTCTTTTAAACAGTAGTGTACAGGTTTTTCAAGTTTTCAGATTAATAACATGACAATTTTACAATAGTATACTTACTATAAATTAGCGTTAAACTAGATGAATAGCTTTTCAGGCAGTAGTCCGATACTTTTTAAGTCTAAACTGATCTCATTGACGCTGTGAGTCCAGGCTGGTCAGACGGGGCTGATGCTGGCAGTCAGTCATGGCAGAATGGACATGGTGAAGGCTCTGCTCGCCTGTGGTGCAGATGTCAACATCCAGGATGATGAGGGCTCGACCGCGCTTATGTGCGCTAGTGAACACGGCCACGTTGAGATAGTAAAGCTGCTACTGGCTCAGCCGGGCTGCAACGCCACACTCAGCGATAATGTGAGTGAGCAGAGTCTCAATTTAACCTAGATAATCCACCAAATACATTTAATGAACATGAAGTATATTTATGTAATGTGTTCGACTCATTTCTCATAGTGTATACTGCTATTGTTATTAGAAAGCAAGTAAGGCTAATGAGGTGTTTGAATTCTTGTCCCTAGGATGAGAGCAATGCCCTGTCTATTGCTCTGGAAGCAGGTCATAAGGACATAGCAGTGTTGCTGTATGCCCATATGAACTTCTCCAAAGCTCAATCACCAGTGAGTGATCGCATTTCACATTCAGCTGATACACAGTACATTCATTTTATCTATCTATTTGTACATTGGATTAATAATTCAGATTTTATTTTTTTAAATTTTTTTATTCATTTTTTATAGTTTAATAAGTAAAAAAAATGGGTCAAAGGCGAAAAGGGGTTTTCAAGCATCAAAACCATAAAAGATTAATAAAGCTTTACAATAGTTCATAAAACAAAAAAAATCTAGTCAGGCATATTTAAAACAAAAATCATTAGATGTCATTAAAAGACTCTATTTAAGAATCATAGTGCAGCCCCCCAAAAACTAATTAATTGCACTTTTAAATCTTAACCAATCTTTTAATAATCGTTTTTAATCATTTAAAATATAATAAAATTTAGTATGATCACTTTTTCTTTTATATATTTTAAAAAGTACAGGTCAGATATGAAACAAGTATGATGTTTCAGTTGTACGTAAATATATCTGTTACACTGAATGATGATGGAACATTATTTCACTAAAAATGTTGCCATTTTATTTTCACAAATGTTAACTGAAACATTAAAGTAGACACTTTACTTGCACTTAATATGCTTTCAATGAATAAAAAAAATACTTTTGTAAATTTAATTTGATGCAGACATCAAAATGGGACATCTCGTCTTTGACCCATATTCAGTGGGTATAGAAAAGAATCACCCCCTTTAAAATAATCACATTTAGTTGCTTTGCAGCCTGAAATGAAGACGGACACAGTTTTTGTTTTATCCAGCTGGATTTACTCAGTGCAACTTATAACATCCAAGTGAAAGATATAACACCAACATGTCAGAAAAAAAATAATAAAAAAACAGAATCACTGAGTTGGAAAAAGTATCACACCCTTGTGTCAGTATTTTTTGAACCAACTTTTGCTTTATTTACAGCCTTTAGTCTGTTGGGATTTGTCTCTACTAACATTGCACATCTAGACTTTGCAATATTTGCCCACTCTTCTTTACAGAACTGCTCAAGGTCAGTTAAATTTGATGGTGAGTGTTTGTGGACTGCAGTCTTCAAGTCATTCCACAGATTTTCAGTGGGGTTTAAGTCTGGGCTCTGACTAGGCCATGCAAGGACATTCACCTTTTGTCAGTTTTGCTGTGTGCTTTGGGCCGTTGTCGTGTTGGAAGGTAAGCCTTCTTGTGTCACATGCACACAATGACCACTCTTTGTCATAAATTCCTGCAACTGCTTCAGATTTGCTGTAGGTCTCTTGGTCGCCTCTCTGACCAGTTTCCTCCTGGTTTCCTCTTTCATCCAGTTTGGAGCGACGTCCTGATCCAGGGAGGGTCTGTGTTGTACCAAATAACTTCCACTTCTTAATAATAGACTTCACTGTGCTTCTAGGCATTGATAAAGCCTTTGAATTTTTTTGGTATCAATCTCCTGACTCTGTCCCGGGAATCTTTTGACAGTGACTTGCCACTCATAGTTGATTGTTTGCTTCAGTTGCACTTCAACAGACTGAAACGCTCCAGGAAAGCTCTTTTCATGCTGAGCAAATCAAAATGACCACAGATGATCACAGTTGAAAGTCAAATGGCTTTGTGTGCCATAGAGAAGGTGATTAGCTACACCTGATTGAGTTTATAAGTCATTTTTAGGAGGGGGGGTGATCTTTTTTCCTATTCAGTGATTCTGTTTTTTTATTTTTCTGACATGTTGGTGTTATATCTTTCACTTGGATGTTATAAGTTGTTATTAAGTTGAGTAAATGCGGCTGGATAAAACAAACACGGTATCCATCTTAATTTCAGGCTGAAAAGCAACTAAATGTGATCATTTTAAAGGGGGTGATTATTTTCTATACCCACTGTATATTTTAGCACATAATATTATACAAAATCTTGCCCTGTTGGACTGTTTCAGTGAAGAATCAGAATATATTTTGTAATAAGTAGAGTTTAGAGACAGAAGGAGGCCTCTTACAATGTCTATTGATTTTGTATCTGACTCATGTTGGCTCTGTTTACTGTTAATCATCATACCTTTCATGTCTGTCATCTGTTCACAGGGTACGCCTCGACTTGGGAGGAAGACTTCACCCAGTCCTACAAGGAAAGGACATGTTTGATTAGAGCTTCTACCCCACCCTGCCTGAGCTGCTATTTTTTCAGGTTCTGCCATGCCTACCATTTTCATCAGCTAGAAACCAAATCTACAGCTAAAAGACTGAGAACGTACTTCAAACCTCAACTAATGGATAGTAGGCAATTTTACTGAGCACTTTTGCAAACTTCTCCTTGGTTATGTCTTTCTCCTTGGCTTTTAGATTATAATACAAATGGACTTGCTAGCTAAGACCTCAAATGTGTACTCACCCTGAATGTATTCAAAGAGTATTCTTCTGCCTGAAATCACCAGCGTAATATTAGAGCTAGACGTCAACTGGAAAGTGGCTATGGAGTTGCCTTCAGAATATTGTTATTCTCATATAAATGTAGAATTTTATAATATATGGATATATCTTTGTATTCTCCCTCCTTTGAGTGGTCTAAAGCTTAAGTCAACGGGGTTTTTTTTCGTCTCTTTTTTTCTTTTTAATAATCAGTAATTTATAATTCCAAGATGTGGCCAATGTTGCCTGACAATGAGCTTTATATTTGTATATGCTGCCCAATATGTTCAGCCTTTGGGGTTTAAATCTTTTGTCCTCCATCAAATACCTAGCAGAGATGTCCAGTGGGTATCAGAGGTTGAAACACAGACTTTCAACAAGTTATTTTAAACACATATTTCTAGATTTGGATTTGGTCCGTACTTTTATACTTGCCATTTTATCTATTTAAAAATCACAGTATTTAGGAAATTTAAAGTTTACTTTGTAACATGAAGTTATATATATGTATCAATTAAAAGTTTTTGTCAGAAAAAATTGTATACTTTGATTGTATACAATGTATGTTTGTGGTATGTGGATGCAATAGCTTTGACTGGCCTTTATGTAATAAACTTATGTTGTAGGTCTAATATGTGGCTTTTCATGTAGTCACAAATAGAATAAACAGATAACTAGGCCTATAGTAGCCATAGTATAGTAACGATAGTAGCCAATAACTTGATAATAAAGTACTAAAATGACATGGCTTGTGCCTGCCTCACTTCTGAAACCCTTCTTTCAGTAGGCCACTTTCTTACAGGTCAACAGTACAATGTCTCCCTCTACTGGAATCGACAGCTAATGTACAATTCAAGTATATTTAGACATGCTGGCTTGAACTCTTTTCTCACTATTATTCAAATAGGAAATATTCGGTTGAAAATGAAATTGTATACATTAAATGTATACATGTATTTTTGACATTTAATTTAATATTAAACTTTTAATTTAATTTTAATAAACTAATTAAAATTGTGCTCACAAATTAGCTCGACTCATTGCAGTTGGGGAGATCTGCAGGCATGAAAACATGATGCTTTTCAAAAAAACATACAAGCTTTTCAGTTGTATTAAAGAGGACTTTTAGATATGGACACTGCAAAGAGTTACAAATATGATCAATGTCCTGGCTGGTTAGCATGGCCCGTTAACCGCACCATTATGCTGCAAAAAAATCGTCTTTCTCCACTGACCGTCATAGAGAGTTAGCAATGAATTCTGACGATTATTATGTATTTCTGCGAAACAGAAAGCATTTTATTTAGTGCAGTAGGCTCATTTTCAAGTAAAAATATTACTACAAATATTATAGATGTGTAAAAAAAAATTGCTGGAGATTATTCTGTTTCTATTACGTTGACTTTCTTCTTCCCAAAATCAAAGTAGCCCACTTTTTAGATATATAAGCACGAAAAGCAACATAAAATATTGCCTATGTAAAATAATTCTCATAATTTTTTACATTTTTTTTCTCTGAACTTTCGAGAACTCGCTTGCACTTTTCTCTTAATGTTGTTTTTATGTTGTCGTTGTTGTTTGTGCAAATGATCACATTTATGAATCATGGATTTATTTATTTTTCTTTGCGTTACTTTGATACAGACTGCCTGGAGCCCATATCAAATCAGACACCCTTCACTATCTTCAAGTTCCACTTTATTGGTCACATGCACAATCATACACAGTAGGCTACGACATGTAGTGATATGCTTGGTACGACTCCACACAGAATGCAATAGACTAGGCTATCTATATTAAAATAGATTTTTTTTTTTTAAGTAGTAATAAGTAATATTATTACAAAATATTACAAAATTAAAACCCCTTTATAACGCCATGCTCGTATTTGGTTTTGTGTCTTATGATCCATGATTTCGACAATTTGGCAGACACTTTTTGTCTCAGTGGGAAGAAACTGAACAAAATCTCCCACGCGCGCTGGAATGCACAGGTTCCTCGCGCCAAACTTGAGCCTATTGTATCAAACCTCAGACCCTCGTCCTCCCTCTCCTTTATAAACGGTTTATAATCCGCCGGCGTGACATATTCTAAGCAGAAGCACCGGCCATCATCACCATCACCTGTCGGCATGAGTGAGGAAGAGCAGAGTAACGGCTCGCTGTCTGTCACGAAGCCGTCCCGCATGCCCAAGTGCTCGCGCTGCAGGAACCATGGCTTCGTGTCGCCGCTGAAGGGCCACAAACGCTTCTGCAACTGGAGGGACTGCCAGTGTCAGAAATGCCGGCTGATCGCTGAACGACAGAGGGTCATGGCAGCCCAGGTACACACCAGCCAGCCGGATGCGAGTTCAGCTAGAGTCTCTTTTATCTTATATTTATTTTTTCCCCAAAGTTCACTGTATCTTCCGCTCTCTTGTGCTCTAAATATCACTGTTTGTGTTTATTTAGTTGTTATACAACTACTCCATATATCATGCCTGGCCTCCGGTATGGTTTTTGTATTGTTTCCAGTTTCCAGTCGTGTTTACAAATAATTGGATTGTTTGCTACAATACTATTAATGATAAATTGTTTACAATCATAGTAACGTTTTGTAGCTACATTGTTGAACAGTGCAGGTTTTTCAGCTAGCTGCAGTTTGGCGTCTTAGCGAGATTTTTTTTTTGTCACAAGTAAAACGGACAGTATAAAAACAACCAGTTTATTCACGTTAATATTATTAATTGTAATTAAATGATATTTCAAATGCCTCGTGATGCTTCTATTACGTGGAGAGTGAACTTAATTGTCCCGGCTGGCTCGGGTGGCTTCAGGCCTGGAGTTGACTGTTTGTCGTGTTAGGTGGCGTTACGGAGGCAGCAGGCTCAGGAGGAAGAGCTGGGCATTTGCAGTCCGGTTAACCTGTCCGGTTCAGACACTCTGGTGAAAAACGAGGCGGCCGGTGATAATGTGTTTACTATCATCTCAGGGCCGCCATCACCCACCACCAGCAGTGCTACCGCCTCTCCCACCAACCTAGGTGAGCAAACCTGATTCATTTAATAAGGACCAAAAATAATGATGGTCACAAGCTATATATAGGCTATCTCATCTCAGTAGGATGGTCAAAATTTTTTGACTCAAAAATCTAGTTACACAAATCTGTATTTTCCCTAGAACTGGATGTTTACAGTATGTTTGTTGTAAACAAATAGATAAAGCATTATTTTGTGAATTCATTTAAGAAGAAATTTCCAACACCATTATATACAGTTTTTGTAATAGCTGTTGGGTAACAAGTGAGGCCAGTAAAACCACACTTTGATACATTTAGGAAAGAGTCAACTATAGAATCAAAACAGATTCAGATTTTAACTGCAAGGGCATCTTTCATGAAGGCCAGGCTGAGGCAAGTTGTCACATGGTAGAGCTGTGTCGCAAGTTAACATAAGCCTTGCAGAATCTGCAAAATGTTCATTATTTTAACAAAACAAGAAGGAAATTGCAGCATATACACTTTTGAACTGGGTCATTTGTATGAATGCAGTTATTTTGTCCTGTGGGCTTTGTAAACATCTATTATGTGAAATAGCTTTTTGAGGACTACTAAAAACATGCAATTTTTTATGATACCTGTTATTTTGTTAAAATTATTAACATTTTGTAGATTCCTCGAGGTGTGTATAAACTTTTGACCACAACTGTATATGTTGTAACTTTATTTTAATTTTAAACTTAATTTCATTGTTCATTTATTCAATATCTGTTTGCCAAAACATATTTTTTAAATATTGCCTTTTCCATACATTAAGAACTTTGATAATTGCTTTACTGAAAATCAGAAAAGCCGTTAAATAGCCTAATACATTTTAATTATGGATATGTTTTGTAAGAAGGCTTTTATCTACTTTAGAATGTAGTATGTAATATAAAATAAAAAAAATATTACTGGCTTTTCTACAGGTTACCACTTACTGTGACAACTTACACATACAGTGTTAACTAGATGGTGTATTTTATTTCTTTTTGGAAATGATGCAAATATTTATTAGATTTTTGTAGATAAGTGGTACCCAAATTAGGTAAAAAATAAAAAAAAAACCCTGAGAAATTCTAACTTGAGCAAAAATGTGAAAGCTAGACCTAGTCTTCCCTAATCTCACATAAGCATACTTTTTATTTTGAATTTGTTTTTGAAATGCATTTCATCAAATTATATTATCATAAAAGCCTGATAAAGTAATAAAGGCAATGGCATACTTCAGCTTATTGTGGAATAAATAAGCTAGTTTTACTGTGTGTGATGAGACGTCCTCGCATAGCATCAGAAGATGTTTCATTACAGTAACCTTCAGTGTTTTTTCATTCACATTATTCGTCTATCAATTTGCACTCTTTTATTAAAATAAAACATAAGCTCAACTTTTTGTGGGAGGTTTCTGTGAATCAGGTCTTTGTCGCTTGGCCATGGGAAAATGAGGAGAAAAGCACCTCTTCTTGACCCCCTGAACTATCCATGACTGTGTGAGTGGCAGAGAAAAACTAAAAACAAAGGAACCATGACCATGGACATCATGAAATGCACCTCCATTCTCACAAGGAGGAGGAAGGCTAGATGGCGATTGTGCCGTGCCAGACCATATCCACGGAGGGCTGTTGTGTTCGATGAGCAGGAGAGACATCCTGTTCCTAATGCTCCGATAGCACTAAGGAAGGAGTTGGATACCAGACAGGTCAAGGCTGCCTATGCTCTGTAATTGTACTCAGCTGCCTCTTTGGTTGCTGACAGATGAAACAGGAGTTACTGGTGGTTTTCGGTAATTGTCGTCAGAGATAAAGTGACACATGACATAACACACATGCTGAGCCATCTGTGATAGACAAAATAACTTCTTATAAACTGGCATTGTATATTACTGTGAATCTGTGCCATCGCTTTCACTTAAAGCACTAAAGCATTTTTGAATCATCACTAAATTTTGCATTTGTTGACCATATACATATGTTTTTATGCCTTGCAAACATTGATGAGGTTTGCTTTCAGAGAAAATAAACAAAATGAATGTTTAAGTTTGTGCTTGAAACAAAACATATCTGTCAATTAGGTATGAGAAATTGTTTTCCTTTTGAATTAAGTTGATTTTTCTGATCCCATTGGCCGATATTTGCTATTGTTTTAATACTTAATTTTGATCAATTTCTCATAAAACAAGACTTCTTTTTGTGTAATTTTGTTTCTCGAGTAAATGTATCTTAATTTAAAAATCCTTAGACATTTGCACTGGAAAACAAGACAGAAATACTGAAGTGATGAAGAACATCAGTGCAGTGTGGTCAGAGAGTACAGTAAACGTCATTCAAACCATAAACTTTGTTTTAGTTTTTTTTTTTTGGAAAATGAGTTAAAAAGTAATGGAGAAAAATGTTCAAACTTTGAAGTGTTCCAAGACATTTACATTTAGAGACCATATTGACGTATTGTGTTCATTTCAATTTGTTCCTTAAATCAGTAATGTTTTGCATATGTCATACATTTCTAGCAAAAGTGTGTTTTATGAATTTATGTAGCTGACATACAGTAATATAAGCTATACAGTTTCCAGTTTTGCACATTGTGTTAAATATGTCTTCTCATTTCAGGGCATACCATTACAGAATGATGCACTTGCCAGAGAAGAGACAGACACACACCTCATTTTGACCAATTGTCTGCTGTTTCAGGGAATCGTTCCATGCTGGCTCTAAGTCCTTCGGCGACCAGCAGAGGGCACACTGAGGGCACGTCTGATCTGATGGTGGATGCCTCCTATTACAACCTCTACCAGCCCACACCATACTCATCCTACTATAGCAACCTGTACAACTACCAGCAATACCAGGTGAATGGACTTGCTCCTCACGTCAAGTGCAACTGAGTGGCTCTTTTCAGGTTTTAAATTAATGTTGTAAATTTAGTTGACGCTAATATGTGCTACCACTATATGCTAATAATAGATATTATTATTATCATTATCATTATTATCATTAGCATTATTATTATTACAAATGGGACTGGAAAGCTTAAAGGGATAGTTCACCCAAAAATGAAAAATCTGTCATTTACTCACCCTCATGTTGTTCCCAAATATCTTAATTTGTTTTTCAAAGAATAACCAAAGTCATATTATTTATTTATATATATATATATATATATATATGTATATACCAATGTCTTATTATTGATATTTCCTTTTTTTTTAATATAATATGTATTTTTCTGTGAACTACCACTTCAATACATAAAAATACTAGGTGTAATAATAAAAATAATAATAAACCTAATATTTGTATGTGTTAAGATAACCAGTTCCTTTTGAACTTCATTTCTGGCACCTTTACTGTGCATGTAAATATGAAACACGTAGAGTTGTTACACATTTGCTGCATTAATTCAGTTAATTATTTTTAGTAGCATAATTATGCACTGGAAATAAAATTGCTTCTCTCCTGCTAAATATTAAATTTATTTTGATTGTTCTGGCTTTAGATTAGGTGAAAAGTGTGGTTCATAATGTTTTAGAATTTTAAAATATTGTAATTATTTCTTACACATTAGTGGTGGTATTTTTAAACATAAAATTGGTTGTGTCACAGTAAAAGTAACAGGAACGGTTCATGACAGGTTTTTTTTTTTTCTTTCCCTTTTTGGTGATGTTTATACTTCCAAAAATGACTAAAATTTATTTTAAATTAATCTGCTGACCCCAAACTTAGCCCCCTACTATATAGTATCTTCAAACCAACCCTTCAGACATACAGTACCTCATACAAGCACTCTAGCAAACATACGTGTGAACACCAGCATGGCGCACACATCTCTACACTCACCCAGTCTGCATCCCATGTAGCCCAGGCCACAGTAATAAGGTGATTAAGTGCGTTGCAGCCGTGTTGATAGGGGCCGCTGTCATTGGACCCGTCTGGATTGTTGAAGTTGGCAGGCCGTAGTGAGCTTCTGTCCTCGGTGTACAGTGATAATACCTGTGCCATCGTTCCAAGCCACTGGCCAAACACAGCAGGAGGGTGTGGGGCTTTCATGCACACTACACCTCTTACATGCTGTTTACATTTCCCTCCTCCCCCCAGCCGGAACCGCAACTAATTCTGTCATTGGAGGTTTTTTAACCCTTATCCTTGTTGTATAACTATCACAAGAAAATAAATCAAAGTCTAAATAATCACTGCTTTCAATTAGTTTGACTGTTACTGTTTTATAATATCAGCTAAATATATTTTTGTTAGTGTAATGATATTTCAAAATCCTAATCTGCAAAATCACATATTTCCAGTTTTCTCATTATGCTGCTCTGGTACTGATACTCTTATTCTTTTAGCAGTAAAATATTCTTTTAAAAGCAGCTTATGGTTGTAGTAGTTCTATTACAACTATGTTTTAATGTAGTGTGTAATATGCTACCATTCAAAAGATTGGGGTCAGTAAGAATAAAAAAAAAATAATAATAATTTTATTTAGCAAGGGTGCATTGAGTTGATCAAAAGTGACGGTAAGGACAATGTTATAGAAGATTTCCATTTAAAATGAATGCTGTTCTTTTGAACTTTCTATTCATCAAATAATCAAACAAATGTGTCACGGATTCCACAAAAATATTAAACTGCACAACTATTTTCAACATTATAATAATAAATGTTTCTTGAGCACCAGATCAGCATATTAGAATGATTTCTGAACAATCATGTGACACTGAAGACTGGAGTAATGGCTGCTGAAATTCAGCTTTGCCATCACAGGCAATACAAATTTATTACACAGGCAAAATAAATTAAATTTTTAAATATATTAAAATAGAAAACATTTATTTTAAATTGTAATAGTATTTCACATTATTACAGTTTTTTTATTGTAGTTTTGATCAAATAAATCCAGCCTTTGTGAGCATAAATATACTATAATATATGTATGTTAAAATTGTTACTAAAAGGAAATCTGGCTTTTTGTACAAAAGATTTATGTAGTCAGTGTCACAAATTAGCCTATTAGCGGAATAAAGGGGGTAGGATTTTCAGTTTGTAATGATAGAGACATTAACATGTTTTTTAACTGTATGGTTAAAGATTTACATCAAGTTATAATCAGATGTACTGTACTGCAAAGTAATTATCAGTTTCCCTCAGAGTCAGATGCAAACAATGCAATTCTGAGACCAGGCACATGAATCTGTCCTGGCAGCAGCTCTCCAGTGTAGACGTTGTCTGCATCAGACCATGCTGCACAAGTTTGAAGATGTCTGTTTGAAGATATCAAACTGGACAGCATGAAATTGAGGGCATCCTCAAAGTCATGGCCCGTTCAACTTTGATATACCATCATTGCATTGCAACAATTTTACAAGCCTTTATTAATCAGCCATCACCCACTGACATTAGAAAGAGTCTTCATACCATGACATAATATGATTTTCATATGGAGATCAGCCTGTGTATATGGACTCTGATTTGTATGGCAAAGTATCCCCATTGTTTCAAATCTGATCTACTCAAGTGTGAAGTAAATTTAATCTGTATTTCTCCAGGGAGTCATTCCTGAGTGTTATATACACACAAGTCAGTCACTGGGCCATATTTTAGCATATTTGTGCAGTTGGAACCCTGATGGCGACATATTGCACCAGGGTCACTGCCTCCATCTCCTTAGTGTGTCCCGGGGTTTGAATTGCAAAGGTTAATGATATTGCTCATATGATGATACAGCTCTATAGAGGGGGAGTAACTTTAATTCTGATCTCATTGCCTGATTTTGACCATTTGGAAGATGAATGTAGGAAAATATACTGTGATTCTTTAGGTGTTTTGTAGTAAACTGTTGTCTTAGTTTATTGTTTCAGTATCATTTTGTTTTTAACTTTTGAAAAAAAAAAAGAAATTAGGTTAGTTTATTTAACATTTAGATTTAGCAAGAGTTTTATTTGTTTGACAATGTCATTATTTTATGATCAAAAATACATTTAAAAAAAAAAAGTGGTTCGTACAGATACTAACTTGAACACAGCTTTTAAGTTCTAAAGGTTTCTCATTTCTGAATTAAAATTCATTTTGCCTTTTTTGTGGAGCATTACAATTGTTGCATGCACAAAGTTGGTGTAACGCCGGAAGAAAAAAGGTCCCATGTAAAGGCTCAAACTCTCCAGTAGTTTAAGCACTGGTAGATTGGCTTAACCTTAGTAAATAGTTTAATTAAAACTCACAAAAAAGTAAAGGGGCAGTTTAAAAAATTAAGTTTTAATAGTTTGTTCATCAAATCAAAAACAATGTAATTCAAGCCATTTTGAAGAAAGGAAGAAAACCGTAATACAGGAAATCACAGATAGGACCCTTATAGACCCTTGCGACTGTTTCATTCAGTTTCTTATTCTTATATCAGATTATTAGACCTTTTGACATGAAGGTGAATTCAGGTTGTCACGACAAATGGAATTACCTCAAGAAAAGATGTGATGTCAATCCGTGTATCATTCGATCATTCGTTTTTTTATTTAATATTGAAAGTAGAAAAATTAGGAAACTGCTCCTTTTTCGTGTTTTTGTTTTTTTTCCCAAAAAACGAAAAACGAGAATTCGGCTTAAATTTTCGTTTTTCGTTAATGGGTGGAAAAATTAATAAACCGCTTGAATATTCGATTTCTACATGTGGGCGGGAATTAAACGCCCCTTTCTGCTGATTGGTCAGCCGAAGATCAAACCGTGCTGTCATCAGTTCTTCTGCAGTATCGCGCAACAGAATAATAGTCCTCCACTGCTGCATTTGTACGGATTAATAACCCATTTTATTGCAACTACATTTCATATTTTTCTCATCAAACAGACTAATGAATAGCTCAACACAACTCGTACAGGGGCAGAGTCTAGACAGTTCTTTCTTCTGTGTAGACCAGTAGTTCTTAAAGTGATAGGGGCTCTGCAAAATAATTTGCTATAGCCTAAAGTATTTCCAGACTGTAAAGTCGCTTTTTTTTATCATGATACATACACTGTAAAAAAAAATCTGTGACATTTACGGTAAAATACCGGCAGCTGTGGTTGCCAGAACTTCACCATTAAAAATATGGTAGAAACATGGCTTAAATTCACAATAAAAAAACGTATTTCATTAACTGATGTAATGTTAATAAACCAGCGTATTGAAGTACTAATATCTGTTTTAAACTTTTCCACCCAAGAACGAAAAAACGAAAATTTAAGCTGAATTCTCGTTTTTCGTGTTTTGGAAAAAAAACGAAAATACGAAAAAGGAGCAGTTTTCTAATTTTTCTACTTTCAATATTAAATCAAAAAACGAATGATACACGGATTGATGTCCATGATTGAAAAATTCATTGTTTGTTAAAAATGGTTTTTACCATTAAAAATCTGGTAGTCAGTAGAAGCATGAGGTTTGTGTTTCTGTAAGCGCAATGAACCTGTAAGAAAGGCATTGTTGTGATTTAGGTTGCATCATCTAAGAAGGATTTCTCTTTCCATCCGGCTGTGTTTTGTGTCTTCACTGTTGTTTGTTGAACATTGTGATGTATTCTTATGTTTACGAAATCATAACTTGTTCCATGAAACTTTCCATCATAGCTTCTTCTCTTTATTAGGGTTCATCGGATAAGGAAGTAGTAGGGTGAGGAGCTCATCTGACTTTTATCTTAGTGTGTCCATCTCCCGCCCTCTCCCACCTCCAGCAAGTGGGGCTCCGCTGCACTGCAGGTGGAGAATGAAAATATGAGGGTTGCGTAGAGGATCCAGACAGCTGATGGTGCCAGATAAGAGCTCACTCAGGGAGGTAAAGGACTCCAGCCAGCCCTTATTAATGAGGCTGCTCTAGATCTAACATGGCAGAGGTAGCACAACGCTAGCAGGCCTGTTCATCATTTCTGCGAGCAGTTTTTGTATTACATGAATTGGAAATCACAATGCACTTTCAAACTGCTGATGCTGTACTAAGCAGGCACTGTGCAGTGTTACCAGATTTTGCCTAGATATGTTCATACCTGAGATAGAGATCTGAATCACAGGGAATGACATTGAATGATGCATGAATTTTATTCCACTTGGACTTATTTTGATGTAAGTGTTATGGTAGGTTAAGAACTGGCATAGAAAAAGCAGGAAATAGTTGAGTAGCATTGCAGACATTTTGGCACACATTTGATGTTTGTCTCTTGCTTGTTGTGGCACATGCTTTTTTCCCACCTTGTTTTATTTCATGTACGTATTGGTGGGGTACTGTTGAAAAAAAAAATACAGTTCAATTTGTATTATATTTGTCATAGGCAATACAAGAGGCTGATATTGTTTAAACAACAGTTTATAAACCTGTCAAGAGTTGATGGGGTGGACAGTTTAACTGGCTGACAGAAATCAAATTCCATAAAAGTGAAATTGAAAAACACCCTAAAGCCTCTGTGCCTTCAAGTTAGACAGCTTATTTTAAAGTTCTCACAAGAGGGAAGAAAACTTGCCAGAGCAGTTTGTTGCAGTTTATTTTGAAAAAGAAAGAGAGAAATAAAGCAGTCTAGGCAGGAGGTCAACCATAACACACACTGGGTATTTTTTCCTCCCCTTCGGACTTGAGGTTTATATTGTCATGTACAGAATGTATAGACTCTGTTTTATCAATGTTTTCAGTGCTCTGAGATGAATGTGTCTTGCAGTGTGCAGATAGAAGTCAAAACCAGGTTTAGGTCCATTGCTGTTGAGGTAATGTTGATCATTTAGTATGTCTTCTGGTTCAAACAGGGACAGTATGAGGATGAGGAGATGGACCATTTATGTGTGAAGCAGAGGAAGAAACTGCAACACTCAGTATAGTATCTTAAATAAAGGATGTTCAGTCTTTCATTTGAGACTTATCGGTAAAGCCACTGCCTAGTGTTATTGCTTTACAATGTACATGCACATTAGCTAGACCAGCATGAAAAATTCTGGAAAATTCTGGAGTCAGTAAGTTTTTTTTTTTTTTAAGTTTATGAAAGAAGACTCTTATGCTCACCAAGGCTGCATTTACAGGGTATTTGATAAAAAAAATACAGTAAAACAGTTATATTTTGAAATATTATTACAATTTAAAATAATTGTTTTGTATCTTAAAATGTGATTTTATTGATGGCAAAGCTGAATTTTCAGCAGCCATTACTCTAGTCTAGCCGTAAGTGTCTCATGATCAGTCAGAAATCATTCTAATATGCTGCCTCATTCATTGTCACTACTTAATCTAAATTATTTTTGTCCTTTTTACTGTTTTATTGAAAAGTATACAGATCAGGGAAATTAGACAAGCTGTATTCAATCTTCTGTTGCTGAAGAGTGCCACAGCTCAATATGCTGAGCCTGGCATATTGACATGTTTTACAAAGTTGAAAATTATGATGTAAAACATTCATGAGAAATTATACAGTGTGAATGTCTGGACCTGCAACTTCCAAAATGTGATCTTGTTTCTTTTGATTCTTGACTGTTGATGCCATCAGACTCTTTATGTGATAACTCGTTTTCTTTTGTTTTTTCTCCACCTGCCCCAAAATCACATCCCTCTGAAACAGATGCCCAGTGGGAACGGTCGCCTGTCCAGCCATAACGTGTCCCCCCAGTACCGCACACACTCCTACTATTCATCTTACCTGAGTCAGGGGCTTGGCACGGCTGCATGTGTGCCACCCAGCACCTGCCCCGAACTCAAAGCAGCAGGTCAGTCCCACACACACACACACACACACACACATACACATACATACACATACACATACACATGCTCTTAGGGCCATAAACTTTTATCCAGAGATTCTCAACAGTGTGAGCAAGTACATCTGAGGGAGGTTCATACTCTGAGTCAAGGGCGCTGTAAAATTTATAAAAAATAAATTCAAAGGTAAAACTTTTATGAGAGTCATTTGTTCTGGTGACTTCAGATTTAAAGAGACAAGGACCATGTGCTAAGAATTCCAGTCTTAGAACATAGAAATCATAAATTGTATTTTTTTTATTTTTCCTGTGCCTTTCACTTTGTAAAGCTATAAAGTTTGAACTGACACCGTCTAAAATTATTTACAGATTTTAGAAACAATATATGTCTTACTGTGCACCATTCTGAACTAATTAAGAGTGTTGAAGGACATTTTAGTATGATTATGGCGTTTCTGTGATCCACCATTCCCGCATACCTCCAAGCTTGCCACCTGCCCTGGCTGTTAATGATTTTTACATGCCGATTTCCAGTGGTTTCAACATGAGGGTGCCGGTCACCCCCACTATCACTGCAGGGGGTGTTATGTTCCATTACACGCAAAACACTCCAAACTGGGTGGTCCCATCTCCTAAACACAGATGCTTGGAGCCCAGCAAGGAGTTTGTGGTCTATTATTTGTTTCCTGTACCTACTATTTACAAAACCCTAATGCAGGGGTTTGGTGGTCTGGGTGAGTGGGGGGACAAATATGATTTTACAATTGTTTTAGCAATGTCAAAGTTAACGTGTTAAGATATTAAAAAGTATTATCAATGAAATATAACCAGTATATCTCCAGTAATTTGAACACATTTAAAGAATTTGACTGATTATTTCATTCTGCTTTCTATTTTTAAAGGGGTGGTTCACTGGGTTTTTTCTAGGCTTGATTGTGTTTATGGGGTGCAGTCTAACGTGTTAACGTTTCGTTTTTTTAAAAACGCATTATTTTTCACATAATTTACCTTTATTCCACACCTCTCTGTCCCTTCTCTGAGAAACGGGCTGATCATTTCCTTCATTTATGAAGCCCCTCCCTCAGAAATAGGTTAGAAAACTTTGCAGATATTGTTTATGCTCAAACAGCAACATTAGACACTAACTAACCTTAAAAAAGTGAAATTGCAATGAACCACCCCTTTAACATTTAAAAATAATTTTTTTTAAAACGTGAACATTTTTAACATCCTGATTCCAATCCTTTGGTTAGTGAAGAAGACTGAATGACCATCCAGGCTTGTGTGGCCTGAGTTTGGTCCTTTACATGGGAGTCTGCACTCCCTGTTTAGTCTGATCCCTAAACATCTCATAGTATTTTCTAGTGTCATATTCACAACTTCTGCAGTCAGACCTGATCAGCTGCCACACTCTGGGTTTTGTTCCCATCATTGTTGTGTTCTAGTAACCATCATACTGTTAGGAGATATTTAAAAAGAGGCAACTCAGTAAATGACAAGTATTCGAGTTTCATTATTTTCAAAGTAGCATTACAGCGGTTTTCAGATGACTTGTCTCTTGAGTCCTCTGTTCTCTTTCTGTGCCTTCAGTGCTTGTGCGGAGTATAATTATTTTCCCTAGAGCTGGGGTAATCAGTTGGCCAAATATGAGGCCAAATAACCTTCAGGAGTGCGACGCTGTCCTTTCCGAGAGGCCCCCACAGCTGTCTCTGGAAAATTGCCTCTGGGGTTAGTGAGCGGGAACAAGTTAAGATTTACAAACAATGATGAAGCTTGTCATGCGTCTTTCTCCATCCGTCACAAGCGGCGGCCTGCCGGGGCGTCGAAGTGTTCTTCATAAAGCTCAGCTCGCTGTGAAATACGCCCCTGTGTGATCTTTACTGCTGGGAGCTCGTCAGCAGCGCTCCGCCATAAATTGCATGGGCCGGAGGTGACACTGCACTCCATCACCCGCCAGGGCAGCCTTACCTCCGTCCGCATCCGCCCCCACCCGCAGCAGCCGCCCGGCCCGTGAGATGATGTGCCCACTGTGAGTTATGTAGAAATTTCAGTGTTATACGAGACAGTCTATGGGTTTTACCATTTTCTCTTGTGCTCTGTTTTTTCTTTTTGTCGTTGTTTATTATTGGAGGATTCAAAGTTAGTTTTGTTTGCAGACTGGGCCAAGTTTACAGTTTTGGAGAGAGTAGAAGGGGGCTTTTCGTTTGCCAACAACAATATTTGAACAGAATATGTGGCTTTCAGAATAAATTGTAAAGGCATTGTTTTGCAGTGCAAAGCTTTTTCCAAAAGTAACACATTCTTGCCTTCTTTGGTTACCCTTTTTTCAAGGTGATGTTGTTAAAATGTAATTACACAAATATTGAGCAATATTAATTAACTTGTAGGTTTAAGTTTTGCGTTTAGTTTATGGTAAGTTACTTATATTTATACAAAATGTAGTGTTATTACTATAGTGAGCACATTTAACATAGGTAACTACGTCGTTTTTTTGGACGTTACTATGGGTAATATAGTGTTTTATTTGGCTTGTACCAAGCTAATGCCATGCTATTCTTTGAAATATCTTCTAGAATCCTGTAAATATAGTATGGTGTTCATTCAAGACCATTGCACATATTAAATTGTGCTATAGTATGATCATCTAAAACATCACCGTACTGTGTTTCTGCCACAGTACTTTTTGTAAGAAGTTCTAATTATTATTTTTTTTTGTTGCTGTCAATCAGTAACGCTTTTATTTGAATACAAATTTGGTGAAGGGCTTTATTTACAGGTAACTAATTAAGTATTCAGGTCACATCGATAAATCATATTTAATGTGCTTTTGACATATATTGATCAGTCTGGTGCCATTTGCAAACCACAAATTTAATGGATGTAATTCTTCTCAGTCAGAATGTGATAATGTTTTCAGAGGTGGCAGACCCTTGGTAAAAAGTTCCAGGAAAACACAAAATCTCATAGGAGCAATCAAAGAGCCCATTCATTCTCTTTCAGTGCAGGATAACAAAGGGCAATAACGATTCTCTCCAGGCTTCAAGCACAATTGAGAGGTAGAGCTTGAGCAGGAAGAGGTGTAACGTCTCATCTGACAGAGAAGCCATGGAGATTTTTTTTAACATTTAATCCATCCTGTTTGCATTATTCCTCTGTGGAGCATTCATAGAACTCCAGCACAGCCTTGCCCTTGAGGTTAAGTGCTGTTACATGTGTCCCTTTATTTGGTTGTTACACAGTTTCACTATCCTGGCTAGGGTTACAGGAAGGGCAAGAGTTCATAAGAAGCTATAGCTTATCTTATAGCATATATGTACCCTAAATTTATTGTCGATTTTAAAGGAATGATGGTTAACTTGTATGGTGTCAGTTGGTGACAGCTTATTCTGTTGTACTCTCCATAATTGCCAGTTCTTATCTATTACTCCTTCTGATCTCAGATCAATAGGAGAAAGGTTTTCCCTTTTTCACCACCTACAAACAAAATAAAACAAGCACTTTGATAACCTTTGTAATCTTGACCGTAAGTATGTTAGTATTACAGATGAAAAGGGTGGCTAATGTGCCACATAATGCATTCCAAAAAAATTGAAAGAATTGGTAAGGCCTGGCATATCTGAGTCAAGGAAATCAGAGGGTGAATCAGTGGCCTGCAGGCAAAATCTCTGGCTGGAGTGTTATTTAACCGCACAGTCAGTAACTCCTCCATGTCATGCTGTCTTCCCTTCTCCAGTGCTGATGCTAAATGCTCTGTCTTTTCTTTCTATGGATCAGTTAAATACCAGTGTAATTGGCTGCTCTAGGCTCAAGCACTGTTGTAATGTGTTGTACAACATTTCTATTAACACTAGCCTGAGGCACTGAGGAGATAAAATGGGTAATGACTGCTGCTAAAGGTTCTGCTCTCTTTAGCACACTGTCCTCCTCAGGAGACTGTCTGTGTGAAAGAAAGCCTAGAATCTCAGGTTATATACACTAGTGTTCAACTGTTTAGGGTGGACTTTTTTTAAGAAGAAGAAGAAGAAATTATTCAGCACATATGCATTAGCCTGATCCAGATTGACAGTAGACAGTAATGATACAAAAGATTTATAATTCAAATACATGCTGTTCTTTGGAACTTTGTATTCAGCAAGGAGTCCTGAAAAATTGTATCATGGTTTCCACAAAAATATTAAGCAGCACAATTGTTTTCAACATTGATAATAGTACATGTTTTTTGAGCACCAAATCAACATATTAGAAATAACTTACAACTGGCTTCTTTCCTAGGTGTTTTAGAAGTTATTTGATATTTTTTAATCATCAAAGAAAATCCTTTTAAAAAAACAACTTAAAGAAAAGATGCTTTCATAGTTGCTGCTGAGAGCTTTATTTTATGGGAATCGTTAGTTATTGAATCTTGTCTAAATAGTTCAAAAGCAGGCATATTTTGTGTCTTTACCTCATTGTTGCTGGTTTCTTTTTCACACGGATTTCAAAGAATTAGTTATTTGTGGTAACATTTTATTTGTTTTGATTATGAATGGAAAGTGGACATTCATTCTTGACCAGAATGTTATGGTCATATTCAGCCTTTACCCAGAGCGTAACATAATTAATTCAACTGAATCTATTAAGTCATTTATTTCACCCAGGGGGGCTTTAGTCTCCCTCACAGCCGTGCTAACTGATGCCTGCACCGCTTATTCTGCACTTGTGATTATTTTCTCTCCTTTAAAGATAATGACACAAAATCCCTCAAATCATCGATTCTGTCTCAAGTCATTATAGTATATCCATAATGTTTCGACGGAATGGAGCACAGGCCAGGAGAGACGGACAGGTCATTTGCAGAAACAGCAAAGCGCTGTATCAGTGCCAGTGATTTAACAGAGAGGAGGGCCTGTCAATTCTCTCAGAGACACTTTGAGACTGGGGACAGATTGGGGAACAATACAGGTCTGGAGGTGCTTATGTGTTTAATTAGCCTCTGACCCTGGCATGATGCCTCCTGTCAGATGTTACAGGCCACTCATGCAGATCTCTAATAGACCGATAATGGGGACTGGAGTGTCCGATGTACTCACATGTGGGCTGAATTTTCAGCAGCCAGAACTCTAGTCTTCAGTGTGACATGATCCTTCAGAAATCATTCTAATATGCTGATTTGCTGCTCAGGAAACATTAATATCAGTGTTGAAAACGGTTGTGCTGCTTAATATTTTCTGGAAACCATGATAAGTTTTTTTTTCAGGATTCTTTCATTAATAAAGTTAACATAAACAATAACACCGGTATAACCGTCAGCACCGTCTATCGCGGCAAGCCTACTATAGATAAGAAATTTGAAGGTGCTATGAAATATACATAAATGCATTTTGAATTTTATTTGTGCAAGCTCGCGTTTGTCTGCTTGGTTTGTCATTAAATGTTAAACACTTCTGCATCCACCTCCCTTGAGTGCTTCAAACTCCAGTGCCAATGTGATTATGAGTGAGAGCTCCACTCAGAAAACAACATCCGTCTCTCTGCAGCAGCCACGGCCGTTCACTCTTTGAGGAGTCAGCAGCTGTTTAAAGTGCCACCTCCTTGCTGTAGGTCTGTGTTTTCTGCGCCATTAAGTCCTGCCACGACTCTAATGATTGAGAGAGACGTGCATGTCATTCCTTGAGGGAACTCCATCTCCCCTCAGCACATCTTCGGCCAAGTCATGTCGTACAGATGTGAGTGTTTGTTTGTGAGGGTGCTTTCATAGCTTTTGGCCCCTTTGGTTATTGTGAAAGTGGTTTTCCAAATTTAAGAATGCACGAATGAAGCACATCCAAGTCCACGGGGCAAGATTAGGGGTTTGGTTTATGTGAATGGCAATATGGTTCAACATTGGCATAGGTAGGGATGCACTGATATTACATTTCTCCCCGAAAACTATAACTTTATGGCTAATAGCCAATAAATGGCTGATATTACTATTTAGTAAAAATAAAACACTAAAAAATAAAATCAATTGTTTTATATTTATTATAATATTTGATAATGTACATTATGAAAATGAGTATTCATTTTGAGATTGCCTAAATATTACATTTAACAGTCTATTATTAGTGTTTATATAAGTGTAAAATGCAAAAGTATGGATGAATGAGCATGTTTATTTAAATATCCAATATCTAATAATATTGCTAAATTAAAAAGTCTCTTAATATCAGCGAAGCGTTTGAGAGAGGCGGGGCATAGAGGACCTACAATAATGTACAGTATTTGAAAAATAATGTTTTTTTTGAACATTAAAGCGTCAACATATTCTGTTACACCAAATACACAAAATAATGATCTTTAAAATAGCATCATATGACCCCTTTAAACATGTATTGTTGGACAGCTCTGCTTTTAATGCTAGTAGATGGAAATTTGATATAGTAAGCTCTCTTAATAACTTGTTTAATACGATCGTACAAGAAGTTGTTTTAGAATTGTAAACACCTTGTTTATCTGTTGTATTAATACAACTGTTATGTAATTGGTAGAAAAGCCTCAGCTGCTGACATGGCATTAAAATATCAACTACCTACCTACCTACCTACTGCTAATATCAGCCTATAACATCTTAACACTCAGTTTTAGACCGATTTTAGACTGATACATCTGAGGTTTAGACTTATACAATGAACTATTATTTTTATTTTTAATCACTGTAAGCGTATCTGTGTATGAGCGCATCTGTATACACGTTCAAGCATGTATGCCTGTGTGTGTGTGTGAGCGCCTGTGTGCGCTATCTCTATGCAACTATGTGTGTTTATCTAAGTGCAGGCATTATGGACCCTCATGGCCCAGCGCTGGCAGTATATGAGTTGCAGAGGAAAGAGCTTATCCACAATAGATCAACCCTGAATTGCCATCTTCTCTCACATCTGGGCTTTTGTTCACTTTTTTCCAAACTGCCAGAAATGATTGAGCTTCTTTCACTGTTTCCCCTCCCCTTTTCATGCTCTTTTTTTTTTTCTTCTTTCTTTTTTGAAAAAAGCTTCCTTTTGTTAAACTACACAAAGACTGTTTAATAGTTTGGAAATCTAAGATAGTCAGCCGAACAAGGGTGAAGAGGGCAAAAGTTCAGATGGGAGAACAAGCTCTTTTTGGGCGTACAGAAAAATAAATCCTCTCTTGTTTCAAGTGTTTTAGACTTGACAAGACGTGTGATTTTTTTTTTTTTTTTTTTTTTTTTTTTTTTTTTTTTTTTTTTTTTTTTCTCTCGTTTGTGCCAGTGTGTAGGAAATGTCTTGTTTGGCAACTTTGTGAAGATTTTATAAATGTTTTTCTTATTGAATGTGTGCCCTGCTGAAACACTTCAGCTTAAGCTGGTTTTAGCTGGTTTAATATGGTCTATGCTGCCAGCTGGTCTTCCAGTATGACAAGCTGTAAAGTGCCTAAAACCCTTCTAAAAACCAGCCTGGAAGACCAGCAAACTAGCTTAGCCTGGTTATTTTATTCATTTATTTTTCATCAGGATGGAGTGATTGTTTGAGAGATATTTCTTCATAAGTCATAATACTATAGTGAATATATGCTGTATTTTACAAGTCAAAGAAATCCATTTACTTGTTTCATTATTATTTGGTTTTATCTGCGCATTTAAAGGCCTGATTGTCTGTATTACAGAGTGTTTAAGGCCGATCTAACATTAGTCTATATTAAGTTCTAATACAATGATAATCAAAGGCAACGAAGCCATGACACAGAACATGTCCGCTTGCCAAACAGCCCCACAGCTGATTTACTGTCCCTACAAACGACCTGTCCACTCACCCGCGAGATCTTCCCTTCAATTACACCATAGATTTCCCCCTGATGAACTCCCTCAGAATTAACACAGCCACGGCTAATTCCAGCCCCTCCTCTTTCACCCTCACTCCATGTATTATTGTTGTACAGAGAGCGTCGGCGCAGTTTAGCTACACAAACATTAGTATTAACGATTGGCCAGTTTGGAATTGATGACAAACTGTAGGCAGAGCGCAAAGTTTTGTAGCCTGAAACCAATCAGGAAGTTAATGAGGAGAAAAATTACTCCTTTTCGCCAGCACCCCTTAATTACCTCCACGCCAGAGCAGTGCAGAGGAGGAGAGGCAGATAAAAAAGAGGGAGGGCAAGAAGGGATGAGAGGCACAGTAAGAGCCTTTATGCTCCTTTTCTCAGGTTATGAAGGTCAGGAAAGCAGATGAACAGGATTTGTGTGTGCCACCCCTCCCGACACTCGTAACTTTGATAGACTCAGTAGAGACTGTAATGTATTAGAATCATATGCATATTGAGATGAGTGGTGACCTGGCTCAATGCACAAACCTTCATGCGTGTTTATAGGAAACTATAACGTTTGTGCTGCTAGGGTTTTACATTTATATAAAGTAATTTATTTAAGCAGATGATTATGTCTTGGTGTTAAAAATGTAACCTAATAACTATCAGAGTTTATTTAATGTCAACCAGAGCATCTGATTCTGAAATAATTTTTTTCTTAATTTATTTTTACAGTAATATCATGTTGCTGTTTTTTTTAGTAATCAGTCTGCACACAGGCACTGGAGAAAGTCAGTACAGTACAGACTCGTCAATAGCCGTGTGCTCACTCAGCAGTCTGTCTGGCTCAATATGCGTATCTTCAGCTTGAGTGAGTTTGCCAAAGTAGCCAGGACTTACTGCAGTGTGTGATTCATAACAGGCAGCACTGCCTTTACTTTGTTGTAATGTTGAGAACTGACAGCACTGTGCTCATACATTTAATTAATGCTGTTTGGTTTGACTGGAGAAGCTGATAATCTCAACATATGAAATGCTGTGACATCACTGTTTCTACTCTAACATTGTGTTCTGTTCATAGAATCGGCTTGCTCACAGATTTTTTTTTGTTTGGCAGAATTCAAAGTGTAACTTTCACGTTGATTATCTTATAAATACAATGGCCCCAAAAATGTTTGGAAATTCTGAGCCATTTTTACAATTATTTTTAACCATATGCTTCCAAAATGATTGTTATTGGGTGTTTCCAATACTGCTATTCAAAAGTTTGGGGTTTGTAAGGTTTTGTTTTAAAGTAATTAATACTTTTATTTAGTAAAGATACATTAAATTGATCAAAAGTGACAGTCAAGACTTTTACATTGTTACAAAAGATTTCTATTTGAAATAAAAGCTGTTTTTCTGAATTTTCTATTAATCAAAGAATTCTGAAAAAAAAAACCCAGTTCCCGCAAAATATTAAGCGGCACAACTGCTTTCAATTTTGATTATAATGTTGAGCATAATGTTGTTTGTTGAACACCAGATCAGCGTGAGACAATTCAGCCATCACAGTAATAAATTACATTTTAAAATATAATAGAATGCAAAAGAGTTATTTTAAATTGTAATAATTTAGTAGTATTACTGGTTTCACTGTTTTGATCACATAAATGCACTTTGCTGAGTGTAAGAGACTTCTTTCAAAAACATTTAAACATCGTACTGACCCCATACCCCTTTCACTGGTAGTGTATGAAAATGGTTGCCCTCAAGTTCATACAGGAATCAGAGTAAGCACAGGTGTATGTTCAGACCTATTGTTTATTGTCGTTTAAACCTTAACATTCAGATAAATGCTGCTTGGCTTGATATTTTGATTCTAATCCAAATACATTCAAACATTTTTATGTGAGCCTTAAGTGTCCAAATACTCTTTGGCACCATTGTACTTTGTCATTAAATGCGAAAATGTCAGGAACCAAAAAGCTCATGTTTCATGTATCATCACAGATGCCATATGCTCTGGCACAAAGTCTTCACGAAGTCTTCAATAATAAACAAAAATGAGTTTGTGTCATGGTACATCTTATTTCAGCTTTCTCCGATGGAGCTCAAGACTCCGTGTCCATCAGCTCGATGATCAACGCTGAGAACAAGCTGGAGTGTGAGAGCAGCTCAGAGTCTGGAGCCTTCTCCGTCGACTGCATCATTGATGGGACAACCAAATAAAAAACCCTCACCTGCACCAATCTCCCATCTAATTGAACTGTTTCTGTATTTTCAACTTATTTTTCACCTTATTGTTCAACATTGTGTAGTTAACACTGATCAGGTTGATCATTGTGGTGTTTTTCAACTTTTTAGGGGATTCTATAAGATTTTCATAGACATTGGTTATAATTTACTCGATGATCAGAAATGCAGTTTACATAGATTGCTGTTTCATACAGTTTGATAGCTTCAGCTTGCAGTTTTTAAAGATTAGAATGAGTCACTTCCACTCCATATGCTATAGTGAAAGAAATGGCAGAGCACAACGATTTATTGCCATATATCAGTTGAAGCTCAGTATTGCTGTCATTGGCCTAATGGATAATCTAACTTCTTTCCATGACCTTCAAGATGCAAAGCATATGAGCTCTTCTCCAGCATCTCTATAGTGTTGTGTTGCAGGCTGTGGGACAGTTGGGTTAGAAGAGATACTATTAAATTATGCTTCAATCTCACAGTGAACGGCTTGTTTATTTATGGCCATCACTAAAGGACATCATTTAACTTTTGATGATTTGCATCTACCCTGTTCCCAAGCATGATCCAGCTAATGTTCAGTACTCTTCCGTATTTTCTTTGTGTAATATGAAGCTGTGCCCTTGATTTTAATGGTGTTGGCACAGATAGTGTCCTCAGTCAAGTCTCAAATAAATGGTAAAGGAGAAGAGGGACACAAAACTTTGTCTTTCCTTTTAAGCTCAGTTTGTTGCAGACATTTGTTATGACAGTACATTTACCTAAAAATGAAAATAATTTTCGGTTTTTAGATCTGATAAAAATGAGCCATATCCATGTTAAATGCATTTTTTTCTAAGTGTGATTTAATTTTTACTTTTTATTTTTGTTATTTTTTTTATTATAGTGGAGGGCCAATTAAAATTAATCAATCAGTCTGAGGACCATTTAATATGCTTGCATCTATATTTCTTTTGCACTTACATAGAAGTCAGTATTAATAAGTAGCTAACTGAGACTTAAATGAATAGCCTTTTTCTAAAAATGAATGTAAAATGTTGTAAGAATGTGCTGAATACTGTATATTCTAATATGAAACACTGATTTTGTACAATTTTGTTAGACCAACAGTTCACAGTTTGATTCATTTGTTAATTTGTTTTCCAGATGCTGGTTTTGTGTAAACATACTTACTGTATTTTGCTCATGATGTGGTGAGCTCTTGTTTACTGACACCATGATGTTACAAATATTTGTTTTATTGTTACGATTGTAAAACAATACAAAAGCTAATTTGCAATCGTGTGTTTATATGCTCTCATGTTCAGTGGAAATAAAATCATTATTGATGACTGACTTTCACAAGGCTTGACTGTTGAGAGCGCAATATAAAATCTGAAATGAAAATTACTTGTATTTTCTTTGCTCTGCACCCTGAAAACATTTATTTGATTCTGCCCCATCTGCTGTAATCAATAACCTGACCATCTTGTTTTTTTTTTTTTATATATTAAATGCACTTACTCTTAATTTCATCCCCCAGTGGTTTTAGTGAGAAGAATGTGGAGTTACCTATATGGCTTTGGCATTATAAATCACTTCTGGAGAGCAGATTGTACAGCAGTATCGATTGATCCTGATATATCACAGAAATTTACTGTCACTTCTGTTTTCAATTAAAGATACAATCAGTCAGGTAATGACTTAATTGGATTTTACAGAAGATTGAGTTTTATTGTCCCGTGCTTTATGAGTTTAGTTAAGGAAGGCCGCTTTATCATAGGCTGTCCGCGCTGGGCTCCGACATGCCGCCGTGTCCTTCTGTTGCTGCTTCAGGTTTGTGTTCCAACGACAGCCTGAAAAGTGTCTGTGGATTTGTTTTCCTTGAGCTGTTATTGTGCCATCAATCACATCGGCTGCATGAAAGATAAAGCCACCCCTGTCCCAAAGTCTCAGAGCATACTGGAGGGGAGGGGGGGGGGGCATGTGCTGCATTTTCTTAAGTCAGGGCTTTTGGATTTAAGAGAGGAAGACATCATAAAAGTGTTTGATGACTGTATGGTCTGAAACGAGGCCCAGTTTAATCTGTAATAATATGTTTATTTGAATTGAATGCATTTTATTTTGTAGAGATATTAAAGAAGATTCCTGGACAGTGAGAGTAGAATAGAAATTGCAACATTAATAAAACCTTGACAGTAAAATTTACAGAGAACATGCAGTTGGTTGTTGTGTTAAAGTATTCAGTATTGCGGTAATGTTTACCAAGATATGGTCAAAAAGCAATGATTTAATTCAAAATGAAATATTTCGATACTTGACATATAATCATCTGTTTGGATGACTAGAAATACTGTACATGGGTACAACTATATTGTGGTTACATATTATTTGCCAACATGTCAATGGAACTAAAATAACCAATTGCTCACCAATCCTCTGCAGTGAATGGGTGCCGTCAGAATGAGAGTTCAAACAAATGATAAAAACATCACAATAGTAATCCACACAACTCCAGTCCATCAGTTAATGTCTTGAGAATCAAAAAGCTATGTGTTTGTAATAAACACATTAATCATTAAGATATTTTTAGCTTCAAACTATTGCTTCTGGCTAAAATATGTCCTCTATTCATATTACCTTCAGTGAAAAAGTCGCCTCGTCTGAATCAGAAGAGAAATATGTCCAGATCAAACACCATTTACAAGCAAAAACAGTTTTAAACAAGTGTGTCTGTGAATTTTTAAGTGTATTATCGTGATGTTTTTAGCTGTTTCAGCTGTTCAAACTTTCATTCTGTTGGCACCCATTCACTGCAGAGGATCCATTGTTGAGCAAGTGATGTAATGTTAAATTTCTCCATATCTGTTCCAATGGAGAAGCAAATCTTGGATGGCCTGAGGGTGAGTATATTTTCAGCAAATTTTCATTTTTGGGTGAACTATTGCTTTGTTATAGGACCCAAGTTCATGCCCAACTTATGTCAACAATGTGATCAAGCACCTGTGAATGTAACGGCATGAATATGAAACCCTTTTTCCCAGGCACAAAAGTTGTAAATGAATACAGTAACACTGCAAATAATCCGTAAAAAATCTGATTGATTGGATATGAAGCTGTCAATCTGTTACTGTCAAAGTCTTAGTTGTTGTTCTAACTTAAGAGTCTCAGTTGCATGAAGTTGTACAATTTAAGTCCCATTAGAGTGGGTTATATAGGCAGACAACTATTTTGTTGACTGCTTTTGTTAATGTTGAGATGGAGAGGGTGTGGCGGGGAGGTGTGGGTCCTGTCAGAGTCTCAGTGATTTGGGTGCCCTTGGAGGCTCTGTGCATATAGAGAGAATAACCAGACATTTCACTGGACAGATGTCCCGTCATTACTCACGACATTGAAACTAATGGCTGCCTGTCAGAGTGCCGCAGTGAAAGAGCAGCCGATTGGGCTCTCGATGGACAGCTCACAGACTCAACATTGAGTCTCTACATAATTACCACTATAAACCTCAATCAAACCTGACAAGAAGTACAAAAAGCAATCAAATTAAATAAAAGAGCATAGCTGAGTTAAATGCAGAAATCAAAATCTATAAAAATATTGTTATATATTGACTATATCGGTTTAATTGGTGCCACATACTCAGTTTATAGTTTCTTGGATCTTAGACCTGGGACATTTACTGCCTTTATTCTGTCCTTCAGTTGAGTATAAAACAGCTTTTGGGCTCCACATAGATACACCTCAGTCTAGTGCTGCTAATAGTGGTTCCCTTAAACCACAGAAAATATACTAATTATCACCTTTCACCTTCACTTTTTATTTTGAATAGTGGCATTATTACCCTGAAACTTTATTTCTGTAAGGAGTATTGCTTCTCTCTGTCCAAACACCAGACTTACCTTCTCTCAATTCTCTCCCATGTCTGTCGGATATTTTACAGTATTTTCACAATGCGCTTCACCTTGTCCTCTCAGCAGTGCTTAATAAAATTATCTTCCATTAATTGATTCAATCATTCAAAATGCCATGTAGAAAAAAAGACAGTATTAGTTTGTGTAGATATTTGGCTTCATGATATTTATTTCTTTACTGGTTGGTTGGTTTGATTTTTATGCTTATTTCATTTTATTCTTGTTTATATCTCACACAAGACTAAAGGAGAACAAGTTTATCAAATACATTCTTCACTTAAAGCATTAATGAAGCATTATATTTGTTAACAAATGTACAGAACTGTACTCCTTTTACATTTAGAGGATTCGTTTAGATGGTGTTATATACTAGTGTTCACCTCTTTTGATTCTTTATTTACACTTATATCAATCATATTCAACACCAAAAATTGTATTTTACATAAAAATACTTTAAATGAAAATATATTACATATAAATATTGACAGTCTATTTCTCTGTTTTGTTTTTTCTCTTTTTTTATTTATTATTATTATTATTTTTGGAGATAAAGTGTAAAGAAAATTTAATTTTTTTATGTATTCAGCTTCTGCAGTGTTGGTGAGAAACATAAATAATTGTATTAGCATTTCTGTTGTCCTCTCACTCCCCTTGGTGTGAATTCCCCTCGCCATACACAGACTGCATGCGGCATTATCGTCACCCTGAAATTTCATCTGCTATTTTCCAATTAAAAGCTTAATAGCCCTGGAAACCGAGTTCATGTGGTGAAGTTTACCGTGGCCCCCAGTTCTCAAAGTTGTGCTGCCGGGATCCCATTACGTGCTTGAATAAACCCATTTAGGAACAGAAACGGGACACGAGGGTGCCCGGTGTTGAGTTTCACTGCATGGACTTTAAAAGCGATGGGCATCATTTTAAGAAAGGTGTGCTGCCATTTACACCCTACATCGCGCGCCAAAGTGCATTTAAAGGCTATGTTTGTTTACTGTGTGCACAAAACAAATTGACTTGTTTAATGTAGATGACATTGCCCAGTTAGCTTGATTCAATTATTTTTTTCATCTGATCCTTCCAGAATTCATTTGGTACACGTCCAAATCATATTGCTCAATTAACTCTTGCTGCATGTCGGACTATTCAACATTTTTCATGGGAATAAGTTAAAAGCTCATTCAAATGCAAACCACCATATTATTGTCGCCTGTTTAATTCGAATTCACAGCGTGTGGTTAAACTAAATACCAAAGTGGTTGCAGGATTTTCATGAAAAGCGCACAGCAGTTATGTGAATTCTTCTCCACATTCCCAGGTAATTCTTGAAATTAGTCTACTGCAGTCCTAAGAGCCCCATATGATGTTGAAAAATTGCCGTGGGTCCGATTTCAAACAACCAGTGAAAATGATAGATTGTTATTGTTTGTTTAATTATATTCTCTCTATTTTTCCGCGGTTTTACAAGTAGCCTATGCGTATAAAAATGAACTCCTGTTAAAACCTATATTCTGAATTGAATTCGTTAAAAATATTGCGAATTGGGCCTATTCAGTTACTTTCATTGGGGTCGACGTTTTAAGATTAATTTGTAAGTAATTTTCGATATTTTGCTAATTATTTTAAAGTTGGTTTCACCTATAGCCGATTTGTTTCTGGTAGGCTATAGTTAGCCAAACACCTTTATAAACAAAACATTGTTTGTGATATATCCTACTTGTTTTGTGTGCTTGTAAATGTGTAATTAAATAACAAATTACAACTGTAGCCTAGCTTATGTTTTGTTGATGTACCATCCTATTCCTGACTGCGCTCGGTTACCGACTATGGTTACCGAAATTATCTGACTTAGAACTTTTGCGGTTTATTAAAAACATTTGAAAACGTTTGAAAACTTAATAACAGCTGTTTGTACAATACAAACGTTTAAAAACCCTTAAGCCTTTTATGTTGACTTCCTTAGGAGGGCTTCAAGCTTTCACAGATCACACATCTAATTGTATTTGTTAAAATGTCAAATGTAGGCTGTTTGTATTAGAGGGTTGCATATCGGCAAAATATTGCACACAATTCTAATAATAATTAGAAAAAAGCGAGACTTCCTCCCTCCATCCAGTGTCAGACGAATGTAAATTGCTCGTGACCGTGATGTGAGAAATAGAAGTTATTCGTTAGTGCGTGTCAGATCGCCTGATGCACTTCTTTGTTGCGGGGCGAAAGGTGGATCCTCGTCTTAAAGAGTCAACACCTCTTAACACGAGTGTAGCGAGCAGCAGAGGGGCTTGATCTCTTGACTAGGCTATACTTGACAGCACTGTTCATCTAAACCTTATCTGATGCACTTGCGCCTCTGGCACCTCTGGAAACCACTTGAGAAATGAATGGCTACGGATCGCCCTACCTCTACATGGGGGGACCGGTGTCCCAGCCGAGAGCGCCCCTCCAGAGGACCCCCAAGTGTGCCCGCTGCAGGAACCACGGGGTGCTCTCCTGGCTGAAAGGGCACAAGCGTTACTGCCGTTTTAAGGACTGCAGTTGCGAGAAATGTATTCTGATAATCGAGCGACAGCGGGTCATGGCGGCTCAGGTGGCGCTCAGGCGGCAGCAGGCGAACGAGAGTTTGGAGAGTTTGATCCCCGAGTCTCTGAGAGCGCTGCCGGGCATCACGGTGGGGAGCGGAGAGCAGAGTGCAAACCCACGATCAAGCGGGATAGACCAGCGCTGGAGCTCAGAGACAGTGACCCCTAAACCGTCGCAAGGTAATCGCTTATTTTGGTTACACAATATTTGAAACAGTTTACTCTTTAAAACTTCGTTTTAGGAACACTGAAGACAACGCGTTTAGCGTCTTGCATGTAGAAAGATTCTTTCAAAGTGATAATAATTCGTTCTAATTAATAATAGCCTAATTATCCTATTGTTGTTACAAAATGTAGGCTATTATAAAACCAAATAGAATGATCTTAACCGAGAACACGACTGGAGTTTTAAACCACAGTAGCCTACTCTTGAAATAACTTACGTTCATAACATATATATATGTATAAATATCTTTGCAGTAGTTTTAGCAGCAATCTTGCGGATCGAGACAACATGATAATGCAGAATGCAGGCATTTTTGTTTCCTGGAAGTATAGCCTGTTTTCTTAAACCGGCAAAAATACACTTAATAACAACGGCTATTATTCATTTTGTTTTCATTAAAAATACCATTTATTCTTTGTTACTGAAATTTTAACCATCACAAACACGTTTATTACAACAACCTTTTTTAAGCCTTTGCGTTAGATAGGCTTCGTTAGATTAAAATAGCTACATCCCAAACCAAAAGGTTCTGCTAAAATATTTAGTCCGAAAAATGTCAACAGACATATTTAAGACAATCCGACATGAAGCTGAACGAAACTGGCATCGGCCCACCATCCGTGATAAAACTCGAATAATCTGAAACTGAAAGGTTATTTATATTCTGTGATCGACAGTGCGCATCACAGGTAATAGGGTAAGCCCTTTCGGTCATTTCAGGGGAAGGTCAAGCTGAAATGCAAAGGAAGTCCAAATGAATGTCAAATGTTTCTAAAGTAATCAGTTTGCAAAACTGTAGTGAAGTGGAATCGACAAGATATTTTTCAATTCCACTGCGTCAGCGTATTTATGTGAACAGCTAATAAAGTCGCCCATTATAAATCACAGGAGTGCTGACAGGTCACTAGCCTGGATGTTGCACTTCTAGTCTGCAGAATCAGACAATACTTTGAGTCAGACTTTTAGCTGGACTTTAACATGGTTTCCACTTAAGCTATTTTTAAGAAATGTCAGGCCTTAAAGATTTAAACGAATGTTAACATTTAGTTAAATTGACAGTTTTATAATTTTTTTTTACTCTATAAAATTGTCATGTTGCTGCAGCATCACTGTATTACAATCTTTGATTATACAGTACAGTATCTTCATGAGGTCTAAACTTGTGTGTTTCTTTTTTTCAGACCTAAATGAGGACCTGTCTGGTGAGCAGTCAGGTGGAGAGAACGGAGGCAGTTCCAGTGACAGAGAACCAGAACCAGAACCAGCCAGCTCCCCTGAGGAGTGCAAACCTAACCTGTGTTGCACCCCTGACACCTCAGACCCAACTTCCCAGGTTGAGGAGTCCCACTTTGGCCTGTCTAAATCCTGCACCGACCCAGAACCCAAAGCTGACAACCCCAAATACTCCCCTGAGCCCAACATCCTCATCGAAGGCCTCTCAGGCTCTGTATCTCTCCCTTTCAGCCTCAGAGCCAACCGACCTCCACTGGAGGTCCTGAAGAAGATCTTCCCAGCCCACAAACCAGCAGTCCTGGAGCTCATCCTGAAAGGCTGCGGTGGAGACCTGGTTGGAGCCATCGAGATCCTGCTCTCCAGCCGTTCTACGATGAAACCAGAAAAGGTACTGTCTGAGAACTCAGATACCCTGGTTCTCCCCTCAAACGGCCACCTCTTTGAGCACCCGCTGAGCTCGTACCCATTGTCGTCTTCCAAGTGGTCGGTCGGTTCGGCCTTCCGTGTTCCAGATTCCCTGCGCTTCTCCTCAGAGCCTTCTGCTGGAGTTGTACCAGGCCCTCTTAGCTTGCAGCTCCAGCACGGCTTCCCCCAGCCGCCTCGATACCCCCTCATGCTGAGAAATTCATTGAGCCGTGGCCAAGCTGGGCCCTTCGTGCACAACGATGTGACTCTGTGGAATACCATGACATTACAGCAGCAGTATCAGCTGCGCTCACAGTACATCCCTCCATTCTCAGGCCCCTCAGCCGGAGTGATCCGCAGCTCACCGCTCCTCACCAGCAGGCCCACCGAGGAACATCGAATCAGCATCCAGGAGGAAAGCTGTCCTGTCATTGTCAAACAGAGCATGTATGCTGCAGATGAGGAGTATGATGAAAGATCTGACTCCTCAGACTCCAGGATCCTGAACACTTCTTCCTAACTCCTAAGCGGTTTCAATAGGTGGATGGAAAAAAGCAGTGAAATATGTTTCAAATGGCTTCTTGAAATGATACAAAAGAGACACTGCTCATCTAGGAGCGCATTGAAAAGATATACAGTGCATTACTTGAGGTATTGTATTTCTACCAAATTTGAGGTTGTTGTGCCAACTTAATCATGTGTGGAATAACATTAGCTTTAGTTTTTGGAGGAAAATCATTAAGGTACTATTATTTGACCAAAAAGTCTGAATAATGTAATATATTTGAGCACAGTGATCTCTATTTCCACTTTGCATGAAATGTACCGTTGATAACAGTTTAATGTAGAAATATTCCAGCAGTCCTGCATGTAAAAGTATGGCAAATAAACCTTCTCTGTACTGTTACTGTCATTGTGTTTATCTCAGTCAAATACGTACATGTATTAGATATCTGCAAAACAAAACAAACTCTTAAAAATAAAAAAGAACAAAAAACGTTAACGTTTTTTTTTTATCTAGAATATGTTTTCAAAAAAATCAATAGCAACTCTTTAGAATAAAAAAATAAATAAAACTTCAAGGGATACCTTGTATTCTCCTCGCATTTAATCCCCCACCAGTTCAGTACTCTACCTCCTGCAACATAATAAAATAACATTTGCTGTTTATTGTCTGATGATTTACGTTATTCAACGTAAGTGTTAAAAGCGTGATTATAAAAGGAACACAACAGTGTATTTTTATATTTGGAACAAAGTTTTTCAATGACGAAATGAGCAGAAAAATGAGCTAACTGCGCCATCTAGTGGACATTCTTAATAATTTCGTGACTATGGCAGAAGTGAGGGAAGGGGGAATTGGCATTACTCGTAGAAACGTAACCCACACACCAACATTAAACAATATGTTTAGAATGCATTATTTTAATGGAAAATTTCAAGATTAAATTAAATTAAAATCATTTACGGTAAATCTAATTCTCCATGTTTATAAACATCAAGAATTATTTCATCATCTTTTCGTCAAATTATATAATTCATACTGTATTATTATTATTATTTATTACGGAAATATATTTCTGATGCCCTGTTGCCTCCAGTGAAAGTGTGCTGTGTGCAGAAATGCCTCACTAAAACATCAATAATGACTCAGTACTGTCACCTTGTGATAGTTATACAGTACATTACAAAAGAAGACATGGCGTCATTAAAGTTGTTATAATTTCCTATCTAGGCCTACAGTCTGAAACAACTAGGCCTAGGTTATATGTTTTAGGTTATATATTAATTATGCAAAAGTCAAACATAACATTACTCAGGTTCTAATGTAGCTATAGGCCTACTGTCTTACATAATAACTTAAACATTCATTCTGAACTAAATGGCGTTTTGTTGTGACTTGTTGCTTATTTAAGACACCCCGTTTAGGTTTCATAGTGTTTATAAACGTACTATGTGATGCTAAACCAGCGGTCGCTCGAGTTTGCAGGTGTTGCAGTTCTATTTAACACATCTGTTGACTTAACCGAGCGACAGCTTTTAATGCTGATATTTGAATTTGTGCCTCTAAGTCAACAAGGCCCTGTGTTCTCGTATACATCAGCCCGACAGACAAATTATGAGTGGTAAAGCATTCAGCAGGTTGCACGTGTTGCCGATCCATCAAAAGTCTTCAAATGCTAATTAACATAACAGGAAATTCAGTGAACTCACAAATCTCTAGTCTACACTCCGATCAGGTTACATTGCAGTGTGTAACGTGTGCCACACCCTCAACCAAACCAGAAGGCCTGTCACTTATTAAATAAATATCCTCGAACGTGTCTGACTCTGAGGGCGTTTTAACCATGATGGACCTGCATTTTCATTGTAATAGAAAGTAAACTATATTGAATAACCTGAGTCCTAAACGATGCAGGCTAAGATACAGGCCTCGCTCCTCAACACAAGCTAATCAGCAAACAAATATAGCCTATGCATACTTCAGCGAAATAACGGGATGACAAAGCAACGAATTCTGGGTAGCCTAATAAAACAACCACTTGCGGAGCATATTCTATAAATCTTAACGCATTGAGATCGCTAAACAATAAAGACACTGCGATTTTTCTCCGTTTGGCATTGTCATATGTGTTTAGAAGAAGGAAAAGGAGAAGATCAAAGCATTCCACGTGGGGAAATTGCACCCTGGGTAGCACTTGGGTTTGCTGGCCGTAACCTTGCTAATAAATTAAGAGGGAAGAAGGGCGAGTGGCAAAGCTGCACCTGCACGGCAAACATCTTCACCACATGTGAGCCTAACAGAGATGACGGAGCAAGACCAGACAGACAATTAAGCAGTAACCACACACCCAACAAATACCATCCTGCTTAGGCCTACAGCTTAAATAAAAATGTGGTGCCAAATCCAATGAGATAATTTCCCTGGATCTAGCCTACGAACATTTTTTAAATAAACTCTTTTAATGTTCACATTTGGTTATAATAGTATATTAATTTATTGTTTTTAATATATAGGCCTATAAAAATATAGACGAAAAAATTCATGAATGTATTGACCATATAGGCTATTCACGGTATAGGCGCCATTTATTTTTTAACGAACGAAAACGAGGCTTTGAGAGATGGATGTACAGCCTGTTCTATGCATTGTATTAGACGTGGGTGTCGATGATTCAGCTGACGCAATGTTAAAAAATGCATCTTTTCAACAACAACAACAACAAAAAACGGCTGTCCACTAAACGGAGGATAGGCCTATGTCTATCCGTGTTTTCATTCGTGCTGAAAATAACCATATAGCGCCTTCAATAAAGTCTATTAGGCTATTATTATTTGTATTATTAGTATTAGTACTATTTGAATTATTTAATACATTTTAAAAATCCATTGTTACATGCAAGATCATTATAAGGTCACATATTTAAATATATCGACAAATTAGGTGACAGACATTTCTTCATGACCTACAATACGCAGGACAATTTTGGACAAAATACCGCTTTGGATTAGAAAGCCTAAAATTGTGTGCAAACTCCAAACACATTGTTGTTTATTTAAACCAAACAAGCTTTACTCTCCCACGTCCCGCATATGCTGCAAACCCATCACGAACTGTAGCTGTGACATTCTTTAGTGTCAGTTGATTTTACTTTGTTTTGAGAAGCATTACACATGGTAAGTCGATCGGAACAAAGAAAATTGTGTTTTGTGTAGCCTTCCCGCATGCTTAGTCCATGTTTTTTAAGTATCGCTTGTTGTGCCAACTGTCATATCACGCTCTATCTAGAGCTGAAAACAGTGTGTAAATGCATCCGCCAAGGGTTGTGCATTGTCAACTGCAACATAGAAAGATATTAATTGGTGTAACAAGAGCTCTAGTGTCTTGTTAGCAGTCAAACTAATTTGTCAGACAACCGCACCTAATGATTAAATTATAAATTGGTCTCTCGGAACTGCAATCTTTAGCCTATGTGAAAAAAATATACTGTAGTGTAATGTAGCACGTGCCTAAATACAGACAAATGTCTTAATTAACAAGATGAGTAATTTAATTTAAAACATTTATTCAGTGTTTTAAGATGTGATGTGTTTTAGTATTAGTACTATTTGAATTATTTAATACATTTTAAAAATCCATTGTTACATGCAAGATCATTATAAGGTCACATATTTAAATATATCGACAAATTAGGTGACAGACATTTCTTCATGACCTACAATACGCAGGACAATTTTGGACAAAATACCGCTTTGGATTAGAAAGCCTAAAATTGTGTGCAAACTCCAAACACATTGTTGTTTATTTAAACCAAACAAGCTTTACTCTCCCACGTCCCGCATATGCTGCAAACCCATCACGAACTGTAGCTGTGACATTCTTTAGTGTCAGTTGATTTTACTTTGTTTTGAGAAGCATTACACATGGTAAGTCGATCGGAACAAAGAAAATTGTGTTTTGTGTAGCCTTCCCGCATGCTTAGTCCATGTTTTTTAAGTATCGCTTGTTGTGCCAACTGTCATATCACGCTCTATCTAGAGCTGAAAACAGTGTGTAAATGCATCCGCCAAGGGTTGTGCATTGTCAACTGCAACATAGAAAGATATTAATTGGTGTAACAAGAGCTCTAGTGTCTTGTTAGCAGTCAAACTAATTTGTCAGACAACCGCACCTAATGATTAAATTATAAATTGGTCTCTCGGAACTGCAATCTTTAGCCTATGTGAAAAAAATATACTGTAGTGTAATGTAGCACGTGCCTAAATACAGACAAATGTCTTAATTAACAAGATGAGTAATTTAATTTAAAACATTTATTCAGTGTTTTAAGATGTGATGTGTTTTAAGCTAAAAAAAAAAAAAAGAATACATTAATGGTCATGTCTAATTCATAATTAATATGTATATAATATTTATATCTTAAAGCAAACAAACAAAAACACCTGTATGGCAACGCTGTTAGGCGCATTTGAATAAAAATGAAAATCCATCGCCAGTTTTTGCATTCACCAGCTGTAATTTGAATATTGTCAATTAGTGGTTACTTTAGCCACTGCAAGCACATTAACGAAATATTACAACGTAACTTGCAAATACTATTTGCTATAGAATTAAATAATTCTGTTGTCCAAAACTCCAAATATGCATGGGCAATTATATAAATGTAAACCCATAGTTTACAATCACGGAATATGAAAAGGTTTATTGTTTTCTTTAAGCATCCACCAAAGTCTCAAGTTTGTATTTATTTATTTTAATTACATATTCATTTATTAATAAGCGGCTACTAAATGCCGTGTCTAAGTTGGAAAAATTATTCAGTATAACATAGCCTACCTATTAGTATTAGTAATAAATAATGCATGTGTGAGCCGCGACAAGGGGGTTTGAAACTAGACCTATTAAACAGCTGAACCCCCAGTGTTCTCCGTGATTAATTGATGGTTTCCTAGGAATGTTTTATTTGTAACTTCACCCCATTAACAACTTTGTTCAGAGAGTGATTCCAATTCCAGCCA